ATCCGAGATGGAATGGTAGATATAAGCTGTAGGTCAATCTATATCGATACACACGAATGCAATAGTAACTCACCTTCTAACAACCGATGCTTCAGACATCGGCTGGAGCGCTCAACTCGGTGATATAAGTATCGAGGGGACCTGGATGAAACGGCAACTAACCTGGCACGCAAACAGAAATGAAATGTTCGCAGTTCATGCAGTGATACCACACGAATAAAAACTGCTACAGAACTCGCAAGTGCTTCTTCAAACAGACAATCGAACAATGGTGTCTTACATAAACTAGGAAGGTAGAAGCATGTCCAAAAAGCTTCTCAAACAAACTCGACAACTTCTTGCACTTCTAGACAAATTCAATATACACCTTCAGGCCCAGAACTTTCCAGGCAGCTTCAATGTCGAAGTGGACACCTTATCACACCAAAAGTCTTGAACCGAGTGGCACCATACAACAGTGACGACATTCAAAATATTTCAAATGTGGGGCACGTCGGAGATAGACCTATTTGCGTCGAGTACTGCTCATGTGAGCCCGTTTCAGTGAACATTCAATCACTAAGCACAACACCACAATGCATTTTGTCACCAGTGGCACTACAAACTAGCGTGGTTATTCCCTCCACCCAAACTTATTCCCAGAGTCATAAACCACTTGAATCAAGCCAGCGGACTATACATATATTAAATGTCCCGAAATGGAACAAGATGTTTTGGCAAGCAGATGTTCAACGCCGAGCTCTACATCCCCTTATCAGATTCCAGATCTAGTCCACACTCTAGTTGACACAAGAACAGGCGTACACCCACCACAGATTCAGGACTTGCTCTGGAAAGCATGGCTGATTTTGAGTGGCAAGATATGTTAACAGAGTGGACGGATAAAGAAAATAAATTGTTAATATCAAGTTGGCGAGGCTCTACGATCAACACATATAAACCAGCGTGGAATGGATGGAAAAAATGGCGCGAGTCTAATTTGGTTAATTATCCTAACCCAGAACAAGTAGCCCGTTATCTGGCACATTTACATTGTGATATAGGTCTTGCTTACAGAAAAATTTTAGTACATAAATCTGTGATTTCAACATTTACTCACTTAACTTCAAAAGTAGATTTATCTTCAAATTTCTGTATAAAACATATGTTAAAAACAATATCTATGGCCCGTACCAAACCAGTAAAGCCATCAATTTGGAATTATGCAGTATATAAGTGAATATAATCTAAATGAAAACAATCTGTAAGAAGTATCTAGGCATACAGCTACATTATTACTTTTGGCTTCTAGTCGGTGAGTTCATGACCTCACTTTGTTACATATTGACAATAACAGATTAATAGACAAACAAAGTATCATAATCTTATGGCCAGCTTTTGGTTCCAAAACGGACAGCATTAATCATAGACAGTTTGGTTGAAGGCTTAAAGAATATCCTGACAAAAATTTGAATATTATTTTCTGGATTAGACAATTACTAAAGACATCTAAAAATCGCAGAAAGGCTACAAATCATTTATCTATTACAGCTAGATGACGCTAAGCCAGCATCCTGTACAGTGATTACTGGGTGGATAAAATCGCTTTTGAGAGAGGCGGGTATTGAAGTTACTCCTGGTTCAGTAAGATCAGCAGTATCTTTCTTAAATTGGTTAGAAATTTTTTCCCTAGATAAAATCCTTGAGACTGGTAATTGGAAAACTGTACATACTTTTCAAAATTACTATAAAAAAGAACTAAATGAAATTGAGATAAATAATTCTGTATCTTTTTATTTTGATGCCATTAATTGATTGATAGAGCAAACATTATATTAGTTTGATTTATTATTGTAATTAATAAAAGCAAAAATTATTGTCATTATGGCCAGTTATAATCAAATAATGTAATTGTGGTATAATATATAAGTTTTGTTGCTGTGTATCATTCTTTTATTGTTTACCTTTCACATTATAGCGTTAAAACTATTATAAGTTATTAGCACCAGGTAATAACAAACAAAAAAAAATAACAAATAAGAAAGGTTCTCGAGTGGCAGCCTCGTACCGGCAGGCGAAGTGTAGGGCGTCCCCCCACTAGATGGAGTGACGACCTGGTAAGATATGCAGGAAGTCGATGGATGCAGGTGGCTCAGGACCGTGCTTTGTGGCATTCTTTGGGGGAGGCCTATGTTCAGCAGTGGACTTGTGAAGGGCTGTAATGATGATGATGATGATGAATAACAAACACGTAATTCAAGATAGATTCCGGATATTGATACATAACAAATATTAGAGAGTCTTAACATAAAATAAAAGTTACCTATTATTTTTTAATCAATATCCGGAATCCAGGTAAGGGCTACCTGGTGCATCATGTGTGCCATAATGACGAGACCTGGTGCAAATCACTGCTTAAATAACAAAGCAGAAACAATGCTGACTTTAGGCGGAAAGACTAGTGCTTGGCTCAAGATGAATTCCTTTTGATTTTGATTTGAAATTGATTGAAAATAAAAAAAGGTAAGTTTTATTTTATGGTAAAACTCTCTCTTTGAGATTTATTTTAGTTTACTTATAAAAGGTCGAGGGAAAAATTCTTCGTATTTTGTATACAAATTCAAGATATTTTTTCAAAGTTTAATCACATTTAATTATAATATTATATATGTACCACTTTGTTCGATAAATAATCCCGTTGCTGTAGAAATCTTGGGATTTTTGATCAATCAAAAATACGACAAGTAGTTATCACAGTTCTCTCTTGATGTAAACCTAACCCTACCCAAAGAATTTTGAAGAGACATATGTGAAAAAGAAATGAATGATATCGTCATATAACCATATCATGAAATAGCAACGTGTTTAGTTATTAATATCTTCAAACAGTGTTTAATATATTAATGTAATGACCACACCATTTCACGAAATGATAGACTACTTTATGATATATGATCAATTCTACGATCTGACAACGACATAAATAAAAATCTCTTTAATAAGACTATAATGAGAATGAAAATTTTGCAATAATTGCAGACAGACCAGTTTTAATCAGTTTACATTTATTTTTATAGAATAAGGGTGATAAACAAGCACACAGTCCACCTGATGGTAAGTGGGTGCTGTGGCCCATAGACATCTACATCTATCCTCGATTACGAATCAAAATGCAGATGCGTTGTCACCCGTGAGGATTAAGATGGAATGCCTCGTTTCCAGTAAAAAAATGGTCTCCGGTTCTCTACACTCACCATACGAAACACAGCAGAATTATGCTGCTATTTTACGCTGGTATTATGTGAGAGCGTAGTCCTTCCCCGGTCGAGCCGACCCATTCATGCTACAACTATACTACTAATATAGCTGCAGCATGGCTCAACCACGTATAAATACATATAGATTGGTAATTGAAATAAAAACCTTATCAATTTTCATATTTTTGAGAGACGACACTATTATCTATTAAAATTATAACACTTTTAAAATAAAATAAAAAAATACTAAAAAACTAAACGTTAGAAATTTTAAATAATTTTAAAAATCCAATTATTTAAAGATATAAATGTAAATTATTCCTTTTATTTATTACTTTTTCCATTTGATGATAGATGGCGCTGTTTTGATGACTAAATTGGTGTAGTTTGAAATAATTTTACCAAAGTTATAACTATATTTTAAACTTTATTTATAAATATGGCATTTATTTGAAAAACACCCGTCATCCCGCCTATAACTAAGATATAATAGAAAATTAATATCTATATCTACTGAATCGAGCGTACAACACCAAAATTAAAGTTACAGTCTGTATATATATATATATATATATATATATATATATATATATATATATATATATATATATATTTAATTATTATATTTTTTTAAAGTTTAGTTTGAATTATATAAAATGAAATTAGATGAGATCAAATTTATTATAATGTAAATGTTTTTTCTTATGTCACTTGTATGGACTCAGTCTGAAATAAATTGATTTTATTTTGTTTTATAGATAATGAAAGAAATTTTATTCAAGGCTACAATACGATACAGGTCTTACTCATAAAAAACAGCATTGACTTAGTTATTTTTTAAGTACCGAATTGCAGCAACGAATTAGCTACCGACTTGACAAGACAGGATTCCACGAACAGTCAAAACAAACATAAGTAGGTATTATTTATGAGATAAAGTATAAAAAAAGATTGCAAAATCTATTACTTGACATTACTAATGTCTTTACTAGAAATGTTTTGACTCTGTTACAATTACACATTATAGTGACAGACACCTTAGTAACTAATTAAACAACAAGTAACTTTATACATAATAATATAATATTATTATTATTTATGACAACTATAAGTGAAACGTAAAATAATAAGCAAAAAATAAAACAATTTTAATTTTAAAGGGTTTTCGGTGTGTGGTAGTATTTATATGTAGCCCATTAGCCAGTCCATTTACACAGAGTTCCTTATGAATGTATATAAAAGCACTTAGTGAAATGTCCAAGTGAAATCTCCACACGTGAAAGTATGATATATAAAATGGTGTGACTAATATATTTCTAATGCGAATGATCCAGTGGTAATCCTCGATTTTGGCTAAAAGCACTGAAGCCAATGCCACAATGAAAAATATTTAATTGTACATACGCCACATCACAATTAAATTATCGTAATCTTTAGTACCTTTATTGACATATCAACTAATGTCTATGTTGTATTGTACGCGTAAAGTCAAATCTCACTTCTCATTATATTTGTAAAAACAGTCTGCAATAAACCATTAGACAGTGAATACGTTGTTTACTTCTCTTAAGTGACATATACGCAAGTGTGACCCGTCCGTATAATAAGTTAAAGTATATAGTGGCCTGCATCGAGCCGGATTTTTATTGAATAGGCGACTGATAACGTCGAGTCGGAGAACAAAAGAGCTCGGACGCCAATACAAAAACAAGTTACATTAATTTTGTTGGTAAATATTAACCGTCGTATTATTCAATATTTAACATGGAAACTACGGACCAAATTTTAAGTGAAATTGAAGATTTGCACTGTAGTATTGTTAAAACCCACGAGAACTTTAAAAAGTGTCCAAAGGCACGTCTAACTAAGGGATATTTAGAAGCAAAAATTAACTGCCTGAATGACTATTGGAACTCGTTTAAGAATGCACATACAAGTTTAATAAAATCTGTGCCTAAGGAACAACGAAAACGCTTGGAATATTTTAATAAAGACGTATACTATTCGTGTGAAGAAAGTTATATGCAAACAAAAGCGGATATGAAGGACTTATTAGATTCATTACATTCTACGGTTATACAATCAGCCAGCGTTGGTGAAAATAAGATATTGCAGCGTGAAGTTCCCCAAGTCAAGTTGCCCAGAATACAATTACCATCATTTTCTGGCAGTTACGAAGATTGGCCGACGTTTCAAGATTTATTTTTAACGCTTGTTGATAAAAATGAAACACTCAGTTGTGTTCAAAAACTACACTATTTAAAGTCTAGTGTTACGGGCGATGCCGAAAATTTATTGAAACATATTCAGATAACCGAAAATAACTATAACCAAGCGTGGGATATATTAAAAGGGCGTTATAGCAACAAACGACTCATAGTGACCTCTATTCTAAAACGGATGTTTAACCAAAAAAAATTGCAAAGTCAGTCCGCAAGTCAAATTAAATCTTTACTTGACACTACGACCGAATGTCTTAACACCTTGAAAAACCTAGACGTTATTACTGAACATTGGGATCCATTGGTGATTTATCTGGTCGTAAATAAACTAGATTTGGAATCCCATAAGGAATGGGAAGAATTTGTAAGCAAAGAAATAAACGATAAGTTGCCCACCTTAATGACATTAACAAAATTTATGGAAATGAAATTTCGAACACTTGAGTTGTTATCGCCAGGTTCAACAAGGGATAGAACTACAGTGCGCTCATATCATGTAACAACTACGGAGAAGGTTTGTCCATTGTGCAACGGGAATCATGCACTATGTCACTGTAAGAGTTTTGGCAAAATGGAACCCACAATGAGAAGTGAATTAGTAAAGACAAAAAACATATGTTTCAACTGTCTAATTCCTGGTCACCCAGTCAAAGCTTGTCGTTCATCCAGCACATGCAGGATTTGTCACAGACGTCATCACTCTCTTCTTCATCATTCACGAGCTACGAGTCCCCAAGGTGAAAAACAAAAGGAAACACAACCGAAGGTTTTACATACAAATGTTGAAGAAACAGAAGAACTTCAAGTCAATACAATGATGACGTCACAAGCTCAAGCAATGAGGAGCACAGTTTTATTAGGTACAGCAGTAGTTACAGTACGAAGTGAAGATGGATACACAACTGCATTAAGAGCCCTCATTGACCCGGGATCACAAGCTTGTTTAATTAGTGAACGTGCAGCTCAATCTTTAAAGGCTACAAGGTATAAAGTTAAGGGAAACATTATTGGTGTGGGATCTGTAATGTCGAAAATAAATCAAGTAGTTCAGGTAGAGGTAATATCACAGTATCAAAGCGAATTCAGCCTCAAGGTAAAAGCCTATGTCATGTCAAAACAACTGACTACTAAAATCCCCACAAAATCAATTGCGTTTTACGAATGGCCCCATCTCCAAGGACTTAGGTTAGCAGATCCAAGTTTCCACACAACAGGATCTATTGATTTGTTGTTAGGAGTAAATGAATATGCACAAATCTTGCAAAGTGAAGTCATCAAAGGTCCACCTGGAACACCTTGTGCGCAAAATACTGCACTGGGTTGGATAGTATTCGGGACCGTAAACGACAATTTACAACAACAAGAACAAACAATGATAGTCATGCATCAAGTTACTGAAGTAGATGATATGTTAAAAATGTTATGGGAAGTAGACCCGACTCCTAAAAGAAGATTCACGAAGGATGAAGAGAAATGTGAAGAAATATTTAAGAACACCTATTCGAGAAATAGCGAAGGAAGGTACATAGTTCAATTACCATTTAAAGTAGGTAGTCCGAAGTCACATAAAGGAAACAGCAGAGAAATATCAATGAAAAGATTTATACAGTTAGAACAAAAATTAGATAAGATACCATATCTTAAAGTAAAATATCAGGAGGTCATGAAAGACTATCTTACAATGGGTCACATGGAAAGGATTCCCAAACAAGAAACAACCAAGTGCGCAGTTTATTTGCCTCATCATGCTGTAGTACGCACCGACAAAGAAACAACCAAAGTGCGTGTTGTTTTTGACGCTTCATGTAAGAATTCTCAAGGAATATCTCTTAATGATGAGCTCTTGGTAGGACCCGTTTTACAGGAAGATTTAAGAAGTATCATTATGAGATGGCGGATGCACAAAATTTGTTTCGCAAGTGATGTCGAAAAAATGTATAGGATGATATTGTTAAAAAAGGAACACACAGACTTTCAAAGAATTTTTTGGAGAGATGATTCATCAAAATCTAACGAAATAGAGGAGTTCAGGTTATTGACAGTTACATTTGGTACAGCATCGGCACCATATCTAGCTGTCAAAACCTTATTACAGATTGCAGACGATGAAGCCAAAGACTATCCTAATGCAGCAAGAACAATACGTGAAGACTTTTATGTAGATGATTTAATGTCTGGGTGTGACACTGTTCAACAAGCCATAGAAGTGTGTAAACAATTGAAAATTATTCTTAACAAGGGCGGCTTCAGACTACAGAAATGGATATCAAATAATGCCAAATTGTTAAGGTCATTAGAACCAAGTGAAATATCAACAAGGGCTAGCCTGAATATTAAAATTGATGGCACCGTAAAGGCACTCGGCCTGACATGGAATTTAGGTGAAGATGATTTCCAATATACTGTGACTTTACCGCCTGTTCTAACGAACGTCACTAAACGTAATATATTAGCAGATGTACAAAAAATGTTTGATCCTTTAGGATGGATAGCACCCGTAATTATCAAGGCTAAAATATTGATTCAAAGGCTATGGTTAGAAGGAGTAAACTGGGATGACAAAATAAACGAAGAATTACGGAAAGAGTGGCTGACAATACGTTACGATCTAGATAATGTCAATCAAATGCGAATCAAACGTTGGATTTATACGAAAACCGCTAATAAAGAAAAAACATCACTGCACGGTTTCTGTGATGCATCTATAAAGGCAATATCTGCTGTTGTATATTGTAGAACAGTAGATGAAAACGATATCGTTCAGACAAGCATTGTAGCTGCCAGAACCAAGGTAGCTCCGGTAAAAACCATTTCTTTGCCTCGTCTTGAGTTATGTGGCGCAACTTTAGTATCTAAGCTTCTAAATCACGTGGCTCAAGCGATGAGAATACCTTCTACACAAGTTTTTGCGTGGACTGATTCTTCAGTAGTTTTGGCATGGCTTATTGGCGAACCAAATAGATGGAAGCCATTTGTTGCAAATCGTGTAGTTGAGATAATGGAGAATGTTAAAAATGGCCAATGGTACCACGTAAAAACTCAGGACAATCCAGCGGATGTTGCGTCAAGAGGTTCCTCTGCTCAAGTTCTTCTCACAAATCAGTTATGGTGGCACGGACCACCATGGTTGTTACAGAAGGAAGTAATATTTTCGAGACCTAACATAATTTCAACGCAATTGGATAAAAAATTAATAAAAATAAATTTAAATGTGACACTAATAAAAAATGAACAAACAAACCACTTTTTAAACTTTGAAAATTTTGACTCATTTGAAGAACTTCTAAAGACAATTGTATACAGCAGACGATTCTTAAATTTTAAAAGGCGACAGTACAATGAAAACTGTATTACAACTGAAGAATTACAACAAGCCGTAAATTTGTGTATAAAGAAAGCACAATTGGAAGATTTTTATGATGAAATAAAAACAATTACCGATCGTAAATATGTTCGGAGAAATAGTCGCTTAAAATCTCTAAATCCATTTCTTGATGAAGAAAGGATTCTTAGAGTAGGAGGAAGACTACGGCATGCAAATATTAGTGAAGAGAGTAAATTTCCAATTATTTTAGACGCTAAATCTTCACTCACAGCACTCATTGTAGCTGATGCTCACAAAAGAACGCTGCACGGTGGATTACAATTAATGTTGTCATACTTGAGAACAAAGTACTGGATTGTAAGGGCAAAAGTTGTAATAAAATCTCACATTTTTAAATGTTTGATATGTGCTAAAATTAGAGCCAAGGCAAAAGGACAAATAATGGGTGATCTGCCCCCCGAACGAGTTAACCCGTCACGCCCATTCCTACAAAGTGGTGTAGATTTTGCCGGGCCAATCCAAATACTTATGTCAAAGGGGAGAGGTATACGAACAAGTAAAGCTTACATAGCTATTTTTATATGTATGTCAATTAAAGCCATCCATCTCGAACTTGTAAGCGATCTAACTTCAGATGCTTTTATTGGGGCTTTTAGACGTTTTGTATCACGGAGAGGACGTTGCGCTCACCTGTGGAGTGACCAGGGCAGAACTTTCATAGCAGCGAACAGAGAATTGTCGGAAGATTTAAATGAAGCTAATTTAAATTTGAACAATCAAATTAAAAACGCTTTGGCTTTGGACGGCACCCAGTGGCACTTCATTCCACCTTATAGCCCTAACTTTGGTGGTTTATGGGAAGCGGGGGTTAAATCCATGAAAGGACATTTGAAGAGAGTCCTGACGAAGAATTTAACATATGAGGAGATGTCCACACTTTTGTGCCAGATTGAAGCGTGCCTAAATTCTCGGCCCTTAACACCAATTAATGAATCTGAGGTGGACAATATAAGCCCTTTAACACCAGGCCATTTTTTGATCGGTGAAGCTCCTATTTCTGTCCCAGCGCCAGACTTATGTGATGCAAAAATTAGCCTACAAGCACGTTGGCGATATACACAAAAACTCTTAGGCGACTTTTGGTATCGATGGCAGCATGAATATCTCACAAGGTTGCAACAAAGACCAAAGTGGCTTAAAAGGGAACGGGAATTTGCCATCAATGAAATAGTTCTCATTAAGCAAGATAAACTGCCTCCTGGAAAGTGGATGCTGGGTCGCATACTTGCCAAACATCCTGGACCAGATGGAGTCACAAGAGTTTACAGTTTAAAGTGCGGTGATGGTGTTATTAAAAGAAGTGTGTTAAAACTGTGTCATTTGCCTATTGATTATAATTGAATTTTATTCGTATTTATATTAATTGTTTGTTAATGTATAAAATTTGAATAACTAAGTTTGAATAAGTTTTCTTATTACATATTATAGATTCTAGATATAATGAACTTATAAAAAGGGTTATGCCCTTTTTGGCGGGCGGTATGTTGTATTGTACGCGTAAAGTCAAATCTCACTTCTCATTATATTTGTAAAAACAGTCTGCAATAAACCATTAGACAGTGAATACGTTGTTTACTTCTCTTAAGTGACATATACGCAAGTGTGACCCGTCCGTATAATAAGTTAAAGTACAGTCTATATAATTTTTATATTATAAGAATTGTGTCCATTTAACCAGGCAAGCTTCTTATACAATTTATACAGAGGTGTTTTAGTTTTAATAACTCCAAACAATTTTCCTGTAAATTGCAATTTAAGCCTGGATGATATATTTGGTAACTTTAATTTGCTAAGGTAAGAACAAATATGCGCTCTCAACGGTAGATATATTAGAACAGTACTTATCTGGCATACGACTTCTTGACTTCTAAGGAGCTTCATTGTTTTAGAGAGAAGATATGGACTTTATACTAGGATACAGTTATTTAACGTTGGTAGTATTTATGTCTCACAGAGTGTGACTCTAACAAAAACACTAAGATAATTTCGTATTTTATAATATATAATATTTAGTATATATACACAAGCACGTGCTGACATAACTCTAAGACCTTAGCTGACCGTCTAATTGAGTACCGAGATTACGAGCTTCATCAATCTGCTTCATTATCGCCCCTTGCAATATAACTGCAGACTTACATTCGGATATTTTATTTCATTTATATTCCAACCTTAAATAATAAATTTGGTTTACGAATAAAATTGTATTTTAGGCCATTATTGATTTTAAAATCCTGAATTTGATAGTAATGGGTTATAAGTGACGGTATACACCGTCATAATAATTTTGCATCATTTTTATAAAAGAAAAATACTAGCAATGCTATTAACATTAATTGTATTTCCTTTAGCCACTCCTGGTAAGCTTAAAATGCTTGTGTTAGGAGTGATTCACGACAGTAACCAAATGGCGGATTCTAGCTCACCGACTTTTTAAGTTCGCGGTCCACACGTTGCCAAGGCTACTGTCACTTAAATTCTTAAATTTTGCGTCATTGGATGTTGATCTTACATTTATAGATATGAAACATATCAATCATTTATTCTATGTGACGGCCTTTATCTTCTCGATTGTAATCTTTTCAAATATTGCCTCAACTACCTCAACATCGAATTTTCTGATGATATTATTTGCCGAGTCCCTTTGTACTTCATCAAGATTATTAAAAGAACGTAAGGCTATAGAGTTTTTAATAAAGGTTGCATTCAGATGCACCGTTACAATTTGTAACTATCTTTCGATAAAACTTTGTAATTTGAACAAACTACGAACCATGACCATTGTAGAAGCGTGCTCGTCGCGACCCCTGCCAGCCCTTTTCAGGGCTGCAATTCTACTAGCTGCGCACCCATGCCAACGAGGGTTAGGGCGTCCCCCCAAGGCGACGCACACCAGCTCGTCACCGTTGGTGTGGAATGCAGCGTGCAAAGCGGCGATGGGGACCGCCACCCGTCACGCACAGCCCGACACGGCGGAAGGTGGAGGACAGAGTGCAGAGTTGGCACGTGGAATGTTAGAGGAGGCATGAGAGATAAGACGAATGAGTTGATCGAAATAATGAAAGAAAGAGAATTAGATGTCGTGTGTATGTCGGAGACCAAACGGAAGGGCAGTGGTACTGAAGAGCTCCCTGGCGGGGCGTTAGCTCTATGGTCAGGAGTCCCGGAGAGCGAGAACGCCTGCCAGGGAGTGGGGGTGCTGCTGTCGTCTCGGTTGGTCGATGTTATGACTGAATATAAGGTTGTGAACTCAAGACTTCTCTGGGTTCGCTTTAAATTGGGACTGACGAAGTTATTCCTTTTGGCTGTTTATGCGCCGGTAGCTTCGTCGTCCAGGGCTGAGCTGGAGGAGTTTTGGGAGAATGTAAGAGAAGTTCTAGATTTGGCTAGGGGAAACGAAAGAATTGTTGTATGTGGTGATTTGAATGGATGGGTTGGTACCGCTCGACCAGGGTACGAGTCGGTACGTGGAAAGTTTGGCGATAAAAGGGTTAATGATGCTGGCAAGCTTATACTGGCGGTGTGACTAACACTATGTTTAATCACAAGAAAACCCATATGTATACTAGAGAACGAAAGAATGAGAGAAGTATGATTGATTTGTTCCTGGTGGATGACCGACTGCGAAAACAGGTGATGGATACGCGAGTGTTCAGGGGTGCTGACCTGGGAACGGATCACTATTTAGTGATTACTAGATTTAGGGGTCTGTTCGCGGGTTGGCGCTACCGGACGGCAGTAACAGAACCACAGTCGGTCTGTCGCATCCGAAGCTGGAAGCTTCAGAAAGCGAATACTAGGGAAAAATATCATGCGAGGGTAGCCGAAAAGCTTGACACCATCGATGGCAGAAAAGAATGTGTAGAAAGAACTTGGCAGAACCTTAGGGATGGAATGGTAAGTGCAGCGGAAGAAGTGTGTGGAACAATAAAAAGAGGTAGTAGTAAAAGAAGAGATGCATGGTGGAATGATGAAGTGAAAGAATCTGTAAAGAAGAAGAAGAAAGCATGGTTAGACTACTTGGCCTCTAGTAATGATAAGGATATGAGAGAGAAGATGAAAGAAATATATAGGCTGCAGAAAGTTCACACGAAAGCACTGATTGAGGAAGTGCGTGATAGGTGTAGAATGGAAGCGGACGAAAGGTTGTCGCACAACTTCAAGGAGAACTCCAAACTCTTCTTGAAAGAGGTTGGAAGGACCCGAAGTGGTGCGACGACCTTAAGAATGAACAAAGTGCTTTCGAGAACTAATGACGTCCTCTCAGAAAAATCGGACGTCATGCAGCGATGGAGCGAATTTTATAGAGAAATGTATGCGTGTGATGATCTTAGTGAGGGATCCGGGGATGACGCCGTGACTGGTACGCCAGACCCGGACCTCGATGACACTGAGGTCATCAGGATGAAAGAGATTGAACGTGCGATTCGAAGTTTGAAATGTGGTAAGGCTGCGGGACTAGACAGAGTTACTGCTGAAATGGTCAAGTATGGTGGGCCTCGCGTCTGGGACAGCTTTCATCTGCTGTGCAATTTGTGCTGGCGGACGGGGGATGTCCCGGATGATTGGCGATCCGCAGTCATTGTGCCTTTATATAAAGGTAAAGGTTCACATTTTGACTGCGGGTGCTATCGGGCAATCAGCTTGACCAGTTTAGCAAGTAAAGTTTACTCGAAGGTTTTGACACGTAGGATGCAAGAGAAATCGGAAAGATTTCTATGGGAGGCACAATGCGGATTTAGACCTGGAAGAGGATGCACGGATCAAATGTTTTCTCTCCGCATGATCACGGAGAAGCTTCTGGCTGCTAACCAGAAGATTTTCTGTGCTTTTGTGGATCTTGAGAAAGCATTTGATAAGGTTGTAAGGAAGAAAATGTGGGAACTGTTGCCGGGGTATGGTGTAGATGGTCGATTGCTAAGGGCTGTGCAGTCTCTTTACTGTGACTGTAAAGCCTGTGTGCGGGTAGGGCATGACCTGTCACCCATGTTTAACGTCCAAACGGGCGTAAAGCAGGGTTGTATCATGTCTTCCTGGCTGTTCATACTGTATCTCGACAGCTGTTTACAGAAGCTGAAAGATAGTTGTTTGGGTGTGAAATTGGGTGAAATTAAAGTAAATTGTCTGCTGTATGCTGATAATGCAGTGCTTATTGCACCATCAGAGGCAGAACTGCAGGCATTAGTCACGTGTATGAAAGAGGAATGTGAAATTAAAGGTCTCCGTTTGAATGCTAATAAAACTAAGGTTCTGGTATTTGAAAGGGACGAAGAGAGAACGAAGTGTGAAATATGGGTAAATCGGGAATGTCTAGAACAGGTAAATGAAATTGTATACTTGGGGAGTGTTTTTAGCCGGGATGGAAGATGTGATTTAGATGTGGACAGGCGTGTGGCTGCCGGGAACAAAGTCAATGGTGCCCTGACTGCGTTAGTCAAAAGGCAAGGCGTAGCGAAGAGTGCACGCCTTGCAATACATAACGCAGTGTTGGTACCGACTTTGTTATATGGCAGTGAAACCTGGGTATGCCAGAAGAAGCATAAAAGTAAGTTGAATGCAGTGGAGATGCGATCTCTTCGTAAAATGTGCGGGGTTACCATGGCCGACCGAAAGCGAAACGAAGAGATTCGCAATATGGCAGGTTTGAAAGATAACCTTATCACAAAAATTGATAAGGGCGTGCTTCGGTGGTTTGGGCACGTTGAGCGAATGAGTGAAGACCGAATGGTGAAGAAAATATATAGCGCGAAAGTTAATATTAAAAGGTGTCGAGGTAGACCGAGACTAACTTTCGAAGACCATGTGAGCAAATTGCTCGAAGAGGGTAGAGTCAAAAGTACTCGGATACCTAGACGTGCATGCATGAAGAAGATAATGAATCTGAAAGAAGCGAAAGAGGTTTGTAAGGATCGTGACACTTGGCGATCTGTTCTCTCTGGCTACCCCGTCAGGGATTGTACGAACCATGACCAGTCTATTAAATGAATCGGTCAATGCGCTTAAGATGATTCAAATTGAAGACTTAAGTGAATTTGTACTTTTTTATTTAGCATATCGCAATCTTGATTTTGACACACGAAAGCGTTTTGAATTTTATAATCAAGAGCGGATACCTACTTTAAAAAACTCGATACAGTTTTTACAAAATTACGTGAACCGGGTGTTTCCTTCCAAACTTATCACAAGGTTCTATCGCGGTCGTAAAACTATAAGAATGTAGATATGCGAAACAAATATACCCATTCATATCGTACCACGCGTTTGTTTTTTTTTTGTTGAGGAAGGTTGAAATATATTCGAATATGAGGCTGCATTCAGACTCAGTACGATGAGTCTGTGCT